GAATTCCACCCTATTATTTATACAGATCACTTTGTTCAAGAATTCCACCTTATTATTTACACAGATCACTTTGTTTTCTTCAGTACATAGTTTCAATTCCAATTCATTAATGTCAAAACATAAAAGAAACAACAGCACATGAAGCAACGAAAGCTTGCCAAAAGCAGAAGATAACAGCTGATAATTAAGGAAGTCCCATTATTTCTTGGCAGAGGAGTCTGTGTATTCAGAGACACATTTTTAAAGGGCCTCCCTTTAGTGGGGCTGCATAATTCACATGAATACTATTTGCACAAACAAATTAACGTTTTCAATGTACATAAAGGAAGGCGCTGATGTTCCCGCAATTTCTGCATAATACCCATCCAACAGAACACCCCAAGAACATCCCCCCGGCCATGGGCACAGCCCAGTTCAGTGAAAGGTTCATGGCAGAGCTACTTGAGCAAACCCCCTTGTGGGGAGCAAAAGAATTGTGCAAATCCCTGAAGACATGGGTTAACATAGAGCTACCACCCCCAAAGCTCTTTTCATATCAACATAACCATGGGGGAAAACGCTCTGTTGCCTGTGTTGACCTGACAGTGCACATAAAATCCTCTCATGCAAGACGAAACCAGCCCATTCCCAGTCCAATTGGGAGTCCTTTAGAGCACGATCTCCATGCATAGTCCAAGTGCCCTCCAAGGGAGGCTTGCAAAGCCCTCAGAGCCATATGCAGCCCTCATGGGGCACGTGGGGCTTCCTGCGAGCCTCGCCTGGTGCTGATGCTTCACCCCTATGTTCCCCTTCAGTTGGTCCAAGTGCTGCTTTAGTCCTGCTCTTCTGGAGCTTGATCTCGCTGTCTTCTAGATCCCAGTCCCAATCCCTGGTCAAGGCCTGTGCAGCATAGGTATTGACTTATAGATGGAGATCAGCTCAAAGACAGGATTATTAAAAAGAAAATTATCAACAAAAAAAAAAAAAAAAAAAAAAAAGAGAGAAAGGATGTTCTGCCAGTAGTGATCTCTATGAAAATCAGCTGCTTGAAGAAAACTTTCTTATTCTGGCAAAGCCCCCAAAGGTCAGACTCCCGTGACACATTCACCATGGGAGGACAGTGGGCAGCACACACATCCTATCACACCAGCTCCCTGAGTTACCAAGAGCTGACACCTGATCTAGATTTTTCACATCTATGAAAAAAATGCATTTCTTATAGAAAAAAATGTATTTTTAGACAAAAGTTTTATTTTCTTATTCTGATCACATACATTTTACACAAAATGTGTGGGCAAGAGGTGATTTTACATTTCACTGTGATTTATCGTGATAATTCTTCCATTATGACTATTGCTGAAGAAAAACGTTAGCTTGTTCATTGCAAGATTAGGCCCAAGACTTAGATTCTCTTCATACTTTAACAGGGTTGCTACAGCAGCCAAACTCTGTTGTTGCAGTGGTGAAAACATCTTCAAAATCCTTCCAGGTCCACAGCAGGCAAAACCACTGTATCCCCAAGAAGTCAGTATAGAAAGACTGTCAGAAATGATCCTCGGTCAGCATGACTGTACCAAGTACTCAGCTTCGGCTGAGGTGCCAAACCACCTAAGAGCTTCCATAACCAGACACTGAGGTCTGCAAGGGGCAGGAAGAAGGATGGTTTCCTGGCAGGTCATCTCCACCTGGGGCAGGTTAGAGTGGGAAAAGCAGCAAGTCTTGACACAGCTTTGTCAAGTGCAAACCCAACAGAACAAGAGCCAAGTTCATCCCCTTGACTGATTTTCATGTAAAACTCTCCTCCGAAGGTCTGCAACTCCTGGCAGAGCTTCCTTTTTGGTAACACAAATCTGGCCACTCCTGGTTGCACCTTCCTGTCTAAGTTCTCTGATTGCAAACGGTGTGCACCTCTATAGTGCCTGTGCAAGGGCCAAGTCGGTGTTGCTACAGCTCCTGCAGAGACCAACTGTATCAAACATAACTTGCTTGGAGGGTACTTGGAGGTTACTTGGAGGACAGTGCAGCAGAGCAGGACCCCATTCACACCGGTAAATCACCAGGAAAGGTGCAGGGGGTTCATTGTACCTGTAGCCCAACATCCAAACACGAGTAGCTCCAACAGTTTCCTCAAGAAATGTTTATGCAGAGAGTTCCTGTCTCGACAAATTCAGCTCAACCAGGAAATACCTCAGAACAGCTCAGCTTTCTCTCTGCAATGAGAGCTGAACAGGAGCTCTGCTCATTTGCCCAGTGTTAGTGACTTGGTGTGTCAGCAATGCCCACAAGCATTCGCACTTACATAGATATCACAGTCAAGGGCAGCCCTTCATCAGGAATGCTGCTCCTTTGCATGTCCAGCTGCTTAGTGTTTCCTTAGGAACAAAGCGTAGACAGTCGTGTTAAATCCCCTCCCCTGAGCTGTAAAAGAAAGTACTATCCATCCACCCAAGATCTAAGGTTTGTATTAATCTATGGCAGAAAAAAAAAAAAAAAAAACCCACACTCTTTCCTGGTCATTTCCTGTTCAACAACAGTCTAAATATCCTGACCCAAAGTCAGAAAAGAATGCAAACTATTACTTGGCATGGGAAAATACAAAGAAAACAAAAAGGTGAAAAAGCACTCCTGTGCTGAAGGTCAGGAGAAAACCCACGTAAGCAGACGGCCTCTGAGTCAGAACAATTCAGTCACCAGAATAAACAGCAAATTCCTCAAAGGAGAAAAAAAAAGGAAAAGCAATTCTGCACCCGATTAACCAAGCCGTGTAGTTGTGCGCATGGGATGTGGTCACGCATCCCGTGCTTCCAGCAACGTGCCTCTTCCCTGCCCACCGACACACAGGCGTGCTGCAGAGCCAACGCACAGCTGAGGGGGCACCAGCCTGGGGAGTCCCGCATGAATTAGGAAACCAGGAGCCATACAGCCCTTCCCTGCACTGCCCTCTGCCTCCAAAACTCCCAAGCCTGGCCTGGCAGGTTTGCCAGTCTTGCAGAAACAGGGCAAAAATATTCAATGTCAGAGCAATGGAGTGAGATAAGGACTGAATGCAATTGCTCATATATTACTTGGTGCCTAAAAAGCTTTCCTACCATGAGCAGAAGACACTGAGATCCAAATGGGCTCAGGATACAAAAACAAGAAACATTGTTTACAGATCATACGCCAAACCTGTTATTTTGGCATTCACAGACATATATATATTTGGCCTTGTCAGGAAAACACAAAAAATGACTTCCACGGTGTGATTTTGTCCAGGAGACTCTGAACTCATTGCCATCCTGCCACATTGCACATGGAATGGAAATCAACATTACTAGAAATCACAGAATCACAGAATATTTAAGGTTGGAAGGGACCTCTAGAAATCATCTAGTCCAACCTTCCTGCTCAAGCAGGCACACCTAGAGCATGTGGCACAGGGTGGCATCCAGGTGGGTTTTGAAGACCTCCAGAGTCGGAGACTCCACAACCTCCCTGGGCAGCCTGTGCCACTGCTCTGGCACCCTCACAGTAAACAAGTTCCTCCTCACCTGGAGACGGAACTTCCTGTGCTCCAGCTTGTGGCCATTACCCCTCGTCCTATCACTGGCCACCAGTGAAAACAGCCTGTCCCCTTCCTCCCTGCATTCTCCCTTCCTGAACTTATACATATTAATCATATCCCCTCTGAGCCGTCTCTTCTCCAGAGAAAACAGGCCCAGCTCACTCAGCCTCTCTTCGTACGAGAGATGTTCCATTCCCTTAATCATCCGGGTTGCCCTTCTCTGGACCCTCTCGAGAAGCTCCACGTCCCTCTTATACTGGGGAGCCCAGAACTGCCCCCAATACTCCAGGTGCGGCCTCCCCAGAGCTGAGAGGAGGGGCAGAATCACCTCCCTTGACCTGCTGGCAACACTCCTCCTGATGCAGGCCAGGATCCCATTGGCCTTCTTGGCCACGAGGGCACACTGCTCACTCATGGTTAACTTAGTGTCAACCAGGACTCCCAGGTCCCTCTCCGTGGAGGTGCTTTCCAGCAGGTCGACCCCTAATCTGTACTGGTGCCTGGGGTTATTCCTCCCCAGGTGCAGGACCCTGCACTTGTCCTTATTGAACCTCATGAGGTTCCTCTCTGCCCATCTCACCAGCCTGTCCAGGTCCCTCTGGATGGCAGCACAGCCCTCCGGAGTGCCGGCCACTCCACCCAGCTTGGTGTCATCTGCAAACTTGCTCAGGGAAATCAACTGTTTTTTGTTCCAAATGCCCTGAATCATATATATATATATGATTTTTATATATATATATATAAATTTTGATAGTATGCATACTATTTCTTCTCAGTCCCGGCTTCCCTACTAAAAGCTGCTACCACACTCTCTCCACTGGCCCACAGTGTACCTTCCCACCAGAAAGACTACGTATTAAGACTACTTGATTCTGATGTTGTCTCTGTTGTCCACAATAAACTCCAAAGAGAAATCAGCACTCATTTCTGAGGATGATGGAAATAAACATCTGAGTGCTTTTGATACGTGATGTCAAAAAGTATCATAATCCCCAGGCTTACTCACTCCTACCTGGCCACACAAATATTGCTACCACTGCATGTGAAAGCAGAAGAAAGATTCTGACTCAACAGCCTTAGATTCAAGCAGAGAATGATGTTTTTGCTGTCAATGGGTAGAAGCTGGACTATTCTCCAGAAAGCAGAGTGTACAAAATAAGTCCTATTACAGAAAGGATAGCTAGTGAAAATGCGTAATTTTATTCCACAAAAAGTAATCAATATTTTAAATATGAATTTTCTATATGCAGGTACATACATTCACACTTTGGCATATTGTAAGACATGGATCAGTAGAGACAACGTAGGCATTAGCAGGGGCATGACAGATCAGCAAATGGGACGCAGATTAGTTCCTCTAGCAAAGAGTTGGGAATTACAGTTGGAGTGAAGTGTCTGAATATGAACAGGCTAATGCTCTCCACCAACAGGCAGAGCTGCGGCAGCTTCTTGCCCTGGGGGGTGCACTGAGGCGACGATGAAGCTTATTCGCCTCCAGTCAGTCTGTCCGCGCCTGTACTGGCTTGCGGATTTATTTTTATACAGGAATTGACTTCACCGAGCTTTGAGCTGCGACACTCGGGGACGGCATTAGAAGGAGTTTTGTCAGCAGGAGTTCCCCGTCACCACGCAGGTTAAGCACTGCCACCTCGTGGAGATGTAGATAACACACAGAGGGACAGAAAGGGGTATGGAAAGGAACATAACCGCGCCTATATGTACACCTGAGGTGAAAACAGCCACCAGCCCGTGCTGGGAAGAAGCCCTTCGACTCCAATGGAGTCACTGCACACACCCACAGGGGGGTGTATGTGATTTACACACACACACAGCCATTATCGCTGAACTGTGACGGACTCACGCTTGGCTGCAAGAGGCGGCGTTACCGTCGCGGCGAAGTTTTGAAGGCGAAGGGAGCCTCCTGCCGTTTTGAGGGACAAAGAACCCGAAATCAGCTCCGTGGCCTAGTGCGAGGAGGCAGCCAAAGCCCCCACGGAGGGGAAAGTCCTCACTCGACCTGCGGGCCCCTGAGGTAGCCGTCAAGGAGGAGGGAAGCAGCTCCGCAAGTGAGGTCACTTCCCCCAACGGCCACCCGGGACCCGCCCCAACAGCCGCCTCCAGCGACCGCCCCGCCCCCAACGGCCGCCCCGCCCCCAACGGCCGCCCCCAACGGCCGCCCCCAACGGCCGCCCTGGTCCCGCCCCTACGGCCGCCCCGCCCCCAGGGCCGTCCTGCGAGAAGCGCAGCGCAATGACGTCACCACGAGCCTCCCGCCTACGGCCTCGACCATTGGCTAGAAAGAGGCAGAGCTGCCCCCGCCTCAGCCAATGAGGGAGGCCCGTGGCCCCGCCTCGGCGGCGCGCGGCCCAATGGGCAGCGCCACTTTGGTGTTGGCGCGCGGGGTCGCCCCGGAAGCGAAAGGCGGAGCGGGCGCTGCCTTCCCCTGCGTCCCCCGCGCCGCCGGCCTGCGCCGCGGCACGTGCGGCCCGCGAGGAGCTTCTGCGCCGCCCCGCCCGCCGCCGCC